GCATTTTCACGTGCTCACATGAAGGATATCTTGCGTTGCTTTCCTGTAGGTGGCCGTTTAGCTCAGCTGGCTAGAGCGTGGTGCTAATAACGCCAAGGTCCTGGGTTCGATCCCCATACTGGCCAGATGCTCTTTTCCCCCATTTAAAGGAATCAATGAAAATTTTGCTCCTGATTCTTTCCCTAATTTGATTAGGTTTGCCTTGCAGGTTATCAGTTTTTCTCTTTTCACAGAACATCCCTCAGTTTTTCTCTGTTGACAGCACCGTCTCTTCCGTTTCTGCCTCTGTTTCTTGGATTTTGCTCTTAACTTTTTGTCGCAAGATCTTATTTTCCACGGAATCTGTCCCAATTTCTTGGCTACATCAATCAGTTTGTTTGAATTTTCTGTCAGTTTTTTTAACCATTGCCTGGATTTTTAGAGTTCCTTTGCTGTATGTGTTAGTTTCCACCACTCCCTTGGACGTCCCACACACTTGCTTGACTTATCCTGTTGGTACTTGGTGCTTCCTCTAAATTTTTGGGCTCTCTTCCCGGGTTCTCGTTTATCCGGTCAGTTTCTTAATTTAAAATTTTTTAAAAGAAAATGCGGTTCTTTACCAGTTTTTAGGTCAAACTATCAATTTTTTGCATTTTTTTTATTTTCATGGTTTTTATTTTGGGTCCAAGCCCAGTTCATTGGTTGTCCTCTCAGTTGATCGGGTTTTAATTGACATTTTTCGGAATTCTTGCTCCCAGTTTCTGAGCGACAGTGTTGACAAGCATTTGCACGTGCTCACATGAAGGATATCTTGCGTTGCTTTCGTGTAGGTGGCCGGTTAGCTCAGCTGGTTAGAGCGTGGTGCTAATAACGCCAAGGTCCTGGGTTCGATCCCCATACTGGCCAGATGCTCTTTTCCTTCATTTAAAGAAATCAATGAAAATTTTGCTCCTGATTCTTTCCCTCATTTTTTTAGGTTTGCCTTGCAGGTTATCAGTTTTTCTCTTTTCACAGAACATCCCTCAGTTTTTCTCCGTTGACAGCACTGCCTCTTCTGTTTCTGCCTCTGTTTATTGGATTTAGCAATTCACTTTTTGTCGCAGGATCTTATTTTCCAGGGAATCTGTCCCAATTTCTTGGCTACATAAATCAGTTTGTTCGAATTTTCTCTCAGTTTCTTTTTTCCATCCCGTGGATTTTTAGAGTTCCTTTTCTGTTTGTGTCTGTTTACACCACTGCCTGAGATGTCCCATACACTTGCTTGGCTTACCCTGTTGGTAGTTGGTGTTTCCTCTAAATTTTTGGGCTCTCTTCCCAGTTTCTCGTTTATCCGGTCAGTTTCTTCATTTAAAAAAAAATAATATGCGGTTCTTTACCAGTTTTTATTTCAAACTATCAATTTCTTGAAATTTTTTTTCGTTCATCCTCTCAGTTTCTTCATTTTAAAACTGTAAATAAAATCAGTTTCTTTACCAGTTTTTTAGGTCTTACTATACGTATCTTGCATTTATTTTTATTTTCATGGTTTTATTTGGGATTCTCTCCAAGTAAATTGGTTGTCCTGTCAGTTTATCGGGTTTTCATTGACATTTTCGGAATTCCTGCTCCCAGTTTCTGAACGGCAGTGTTGACAAGCATTTGCACGTGATCACATGAAGGATATCTTGCATTGCTTTCGTGTAAGTGGCCGGTTAGCTCAGCTGGTTAGAGCGTGGTGCTAATAACGCCAAGGTCCTGGGTTCAATCCCTATACTGGCCAGATGCTCTTTTCCTCCATTTAAAGAAATCAATGAAAATTTTCTCCTGATTCTTTCCCTCTCAATTTATTGGGTTTGCCTTGTCAGGTTATCAGTTTTTCTCTTTTCACAGAACATCCCTCAGTTTTTCTCCGTTGACAGCACCGTCTCTTCCGTTTCTGCCTCTGTTTCTTGGATTTTGCTCCTCACTTTGTGTCGCAGGATCTTATTTTCCAGGGAATCTGTCCCAATTTCTTGGCTACATAAATCAGTTTGTTCGAATTTTCTCTCAGTTTCTGTTTTCCATCCCGTGGATTTTTAGAGTTCCTTTTCTGCTTGTGTTTTTTACACCGCTGCCTGAGATGTCCCATACACTTGCTTGGCTTACCCTGTTGGTCGTTGGTGTTTCCTCTAAATTGTTGGGCTCTCTTCCCAGTTTCTCGTTTATCCGGTCAGTTTCTTCATTTAAAAAGAAAAAAAAAGAAAATGCGGTTCTTTACCAGTTTTTATTTCAAACTATCAATTTCTTGCATTTTTTATTTCGTTCATCCTCTCAGTTTCTTCATTTTAAAACTATAAATAAAATGGGTTCCTTTACCAGGTTTTTATGTCTTACTATAAGTATCTTGCATTTTTTTACAATTTTCATGGTTTTGTTTGGGATTATCTACAAGTAAATTGGTTGTCCTCTCAGTTTATTGGGTTTTCATTGACATTTTCGGAATTCCTGCTCCCAGTTTCTGAACGACAGCGTTGACAAGCATTTTCACGTGCTCACATGAAGGATATCTTGCGTTGCTTTCCTGTAGGTGGCCGTTTAGCTCAGCTGGCTAGAGCGTGGTGCTAATAACGCCAAGGTCCTGGGTTCGATCCCCATACTGGCCAGATGCTCTTTTCCCCCATTTAAAGGAATCAATGAAAATTTTGCTCCTGATTCTTTCCCTAATTTGATTAGGTTTGCCTTGCAGGTTATCAGTTTTTCTCTTTTCACAGAACATCCCTCAGTTTTTCTCTGTTGACAGCACCGTCTCTTCCGTTTCTGCCTCTGTTTCTTGGATTTTGCTCTTAACTTTTTGTCGCAAGATCTTATTTTCCACGGAATCTGTCCCAATTTCTTGGCTACATCAATCAGTTTGTTTGAATTTTCTGTCAGTTTTTTTAACCATTGCCTGGATTTTTAGAGTTCCTTTGCTGTATGTGTTAGTTTCCACCACTCCCTTGGACGTCCCACACACTTGCTTGACTTATCCTGTTGGTACTTGGTGCTTCCTCTAAATTTTTGGGCTCTCTTCCCGGGTTCTCGTTTATCCGGTCAGTTTCTTAATTTAAAATTTTTTAAAAGAAAATGCGGTTCTTTACCAGTTTTTAGGTCAAACTATCAATTTTTTGCATTTTTTTTATTTTCATGGTTTTTATTTTGGGTCCAAGCCCAGTTCATTGGTTGTCCTCTCAGTTGATCGGGTTTTAATTGACATTTTTCGGAATTCTTGCTCCCAGTTTCTGAGCGACAGTGTTGACAAGCATTTGCACGTGCTCACATGAAGGATATCTTGCGTTGCTTTCGTGTAGGTGGCCGGTTAGCTCAGCTGGTTAGAGCGTGGTGCTAATAACGCCAAGGTCCTGGGTTCGATCCCCATACTGGCCAGATGCTCTTTTCCTTCATTTAAAGAAATCAATGAAAATTTTGCTCCTGATTCTTTCCCTCATTTTTTTAGGTTTGCCTTGCAGGTTATCAGTTTTTCTCTTTTCACAGAACATCCCTCAGTTTTTCTCCGTTGACAGCACTGCCTCTTCTGTTTCTGCCTCTGTTTATTGGATTTAGCAATTCACTTTTTGTCGCAGGATCTTATTTTCCAGGGAATCTGTCCCAATTTCTTGGCTACATAAATCAGTTTGTTCGAATTTTCTCTCAGTTTCTTTTTTCCATCCCGTGGATTTTTAGAGTTCCTTTTCTGTTTGTGTCTGTTTACACCACTGCCTGAGATGTCCCATACACTTGCTTGGCTTACCCTGTTGGTAGTTGGTGTTTCCTCTAAATTTTTGGGCTCTCTTCCCAGTTTCTCGTTTATCCGGTCAGTTTCTTCATTTAAAAAAAAATAATATGCGGTTCTTTACCAGTTTTTATTTCAAACTATCAATTTCTTGAAATTTTTTTCGTTCATCCTCTCAGTTTCTTCATTTTAAAACTGTAAATAAAATCAGTTTCTTTACCAGTTTTTTAGGTCTTACTATACGTATCTTGCATTTATTTTTATTTTCATGGTTTTATTTGGGATTCTCTCCAAGTAAATTGGTTGTCCTGTCAGTTTATCGGGTTTTCATTGACATTTTCGGAATTCCTGCTCCCAGTTTCTGAACGGCAGTGTTGACAAGCATTTGCACGTGATCACATGAAGGATATCTTGCATTGCTTTCGTGTAAGTGGCCGGTTAGCTCAGCTGGTTAGAGCGTGGTGCTAATAACGCCAAGGTCCTGGGTTCAATCCCTATACTGGCCAGATGCTCTTTTCCTCCATTTAAAGAAATCAATGAAAATTTTCTCCTGATTCTTTCCCTCTCAATTTATTGGGTTTGCCTTGTCAGGTTATCAGTTTTTCTCTTTTCACAGAACATCCCTCAGTTTTTCTCCGTTGACAGCACCGTCTCTTCCGTTTCTGCCTCTGTTTCTTGGATTTTGCTCCTCACTTTGTGTCGCAGGATCTTATTTTCCAGGGAATCTGTCCCAATTTCTTGGCTACATAAATCAGTTTGTTCGAATTTTCTCTCAGTTTCTGTTTTCCATCCCGTGGATTTTTAGAGTTCCTTTTCTGCTTGTGTTTTTTACACCGCTGCCTGAGATGTCCCATACACTTGCTTGGCTTACCCTGTTGGTCGTTGGTGTTTCCTCTAAATTGTTGGGCTCTCTTCCCAGTTTCTCGTTTATCCGGTCAGTTTCTTCATTTAAAAAGAAAAAAAAAGAAAATGCGGTTCTTTACCAGTTTTTATTTCAAACTATCAATTTCTTGCATTTTTTATTTCGTTCATCCTCTCAGTTTCTTCATTTTAAAACTATAAATAAAATGGGTTCCTTTACCAGGTTTTTATGTCTTACTATAAGTATCTTGCATTTTTTTACAATTTTCATGGTTTTGTTTGGGATTATCTACAAGTAAATTGGTTGTCCTCTCAGTTTATTGGGTTTTCATTGACATTTTCGGAATTCCTGCTCCCAGTTTCTGAACGACAGCGTTGACAAGCATTTTCACGTGCTCACATGAAGGATATCTTGCGTTGCTTTCCTGTAGGTGGCCGTTTAGCTCAGCTGGCTAGAGCGTGGTGCTAATAACGCCAAGGGTCCTGGGTTCGATCCCCATACTGGCCAGATGCTCTTTTCCCCCATTTAAAGGAATCAATGAAAATTTTGCTCCTGATTCTTTCCCTAATTTGATTAGGTTTGCCTTGCAGGTTATCAGTTTTTCTCTTTTCACAGAACATCCCTCAGTTTTTCTCTGTTGACAGCACCGTCTCTTCCGTTTCTGCCTCTGTTTCTTGGATTTTGCTCTTAACTTTTTGTCGCAAGATCTTATTTTCCACGGAATCTGTCCCAATTTCTTGGCTACATCAATCAGTTTGTTTGAATTTTCTGTCAGTTTTTTTAACCATTGCCTGGATTTTTAGAGTTCCTTTGCTGTATGTGTTAGTTTCCACCACTCCCTTGGACGTCCCACACACTTGCTTGACTTATCCTGTTGGTACTTGGTGCTTCCTCTAAATTTTTGGGCTCTCTTCCCGGGTTCTCGTTTATCCGGTCAGTTTCTTAATTTAAAATTTTTTAAAAGAAAATGCGGTTCTTTACCAGTTTTTAGGTCAAACTATCAATTTTTTGCATTTTTTTTATTTTCATGGTTTTTATTTTGGGTCCAAGCCCAGTTCATTGGTTGTCCTCTCAGTTGATCGGGTTTTAATTGACATTTTTCGGAATTCTTGCTCCCAGTTTCTGAGCGACAGTGTTGACAAGCATTTGCACGTGCTCACATGAAGGATATCTTGCGTTGCTTTCGTGTAGGTGGCCGGTTAGCTCAGCTGGTTAGAGCGTGGTGCTAATAACGCCAAGGTCCTGGGTTCGATCCCCATACTGGCCAGATGCTCTTTTCCTTCATTTAAAGAAATCAATGAAAATTTTGCTCCTGATTCTTTCCCTCATTTTTTTAGGTTTGCCTTGCAGGTTATCAGTTTTTCTCTTTTCACAGAACATCCCTCAGTTTTTCTCCGTTGACAGCACTGCCTCTTCTGTTTCTGCCTCTGTTTATTGGATTTAGCAATTCACTTTTTGTCGCAGGATCTTATTTTCCAGGGAATCTGTCCCAATTTCTTGGCTACATAAATCAGTTTGTTCGAATTTTCTCTCAGTTTCTTTTTTCCATCCCGTGGATTTTTAGAGTTCCTTTTCTGTTTGTGTCTGTTTACACCACTGCCTGAGATGTCCCATACACTTGCTTGGCTTACCCTGTTGGTAGTTGGTGTTTCCTCTAAATTTTTGGGCTCTCTTCCCAGTTTCTCGTTTATCCGGTCAGTTTCTTCATTTAAAAAAAAATAATATGCGGTTCTTTACCAGTTTTTATTTCAAACTATCAATTTCTTGAAATTTTTTTCGTTCATCCTCTCAGTTTCTTCATTTTAAAACTGTAAATAAAATCAGTTTCTTTACCAGTTTTTTAGGTCTTACTATACGTATCTTGCATTTATTTTTATTTTCATGGTTTTATTTGGGATTCTCTCCAAGTAAATTGGTTGTCCTGTCAGTTTATCGGGTTTTCATTGACATTTTCGGAATTCCTGCTCCCAGTTTCTGAACGGCAGTGTTGACAAGCATTTGCACGTGATCACATGAAGGATATCTTGCATTGCTTTCGTGTAAGTGGCCGGTTAGCTCAGCTGGTTAGAGCGTGGTGCTAATAACGCCAAGGTCCTGGGTTCAATCCCTATACTGGCCAGATGCTCTTTTCCTCCATTTAAAGAAATCAATGAAAATTTTCTCCTGATTCTTTCCCTCTCAATTTATTGGGTTTGCCTTGTCAGGTTATCAGTTTTTCTCTTTTCACAGAACATCCCTCAGTTTTTCTCCGTTGACAGCACCGTCTCTTCCGTTTCTGCCTCTGTTTCTTGGATTTTGCTCCTCACTTTGTGTCGCAGGATCTTATTTTCCAGGGAATCTGTCCCAATTTCTTGGCTACATAAATCAGTTTGTTCGAATTTTCTCTCAGTTTCTGTTTTCCATCCCGTGGATTTTTAGAGTTCCTTTTCTGCTTGTGTTTTTTACACCGCTGCCTGAGATGTCCCATACACTTGCTTGGCTTACCCTGTTGGTCGTTGGTGTTTCCTCTAAATTGTTGGGCTCTCTTCCCAGTTTCTCGTTTATCCGGTCAGTTTCTTCATTTAAAAAGAAAAAAAAAGAAAATGCGGTTCTTTACCAGTTTTTATTTCAAACTATCAATTTCTTGCATTTTTTATTTCGTTCATCCTCTCAGTTTCTTCATTTTAAAACTATAAATAAAATGGGTTCCTTTACCAGGTTTTTATGTCTTACTATAAGTATCTTGCATTTTTTTACAATTTTCATGGTTTTGTTTGGGATTATCTACAAGTAAATTGGTTGTCCTCTCAGTTTATTGGGTTTTCATTGACATTTTCGGAATTCCTGCTCCCAGTTTCTGAACGACAGCGTTGACAAGCATTTTCACGTGCTCACATGAAGGATATCTTGCGTTGCTTTCCTGTAGGTGGCCGTTTAGCTCAGCTGGCTAGAGCGTGGTGCTAATAACGCCAAGGTCCTGGGTTCGATCCCCATACTGGCCAGATGCTCTTTTCCCCCATTTAAAGGAATCAATGAAAATTTTGCTCCTGATTCTTTCCCTAATTTGATTAGGTTTGCCTTGCAGGTTATCAGTTTTTCTCTTTTCACAGAACATCCCTCAGTTTTTCTCTGTTGACAGCACCGTCTCTTCCGTTTCTGCCTCTGTTTCTTGGATTTTGCTCTTAACTTTTTGTCGCAAGATCTTATTTTCCACGGAATCTGTCCCAATTTCTTGGCTACATCAATCAGTTTGTTTGAATTTTCTGTCAGTTTTTTTAACCATTGCCTGGATTTTTAGAGTTCCTTTGCTGTATGTGTTAGTTTCCACCACTCCCTTGGACGTCCCACACACTTGCTTGACTTATCCTGTTGGTACTTGGTGCTTCCTCTAAATTTTTGGGCTCTCTTCCCGGGTTCTCGTTTATCCGGTCAGTTTCTTAATTTAAAATTTTTTAAAAGAAAATGCGGTTCTTTACCAGTTTTTAGGTCAAACTATCAATTTTTTGCATTTTTTTTATTTTCATGGTTTTTATTTTGGGTCCAAGCCCAGTTCATTGGTTGTCCTCTCAGTTGATCGGGTTTTAATTGACATTTTTCGGAATTCTTGCTCCCAGTTTCTGAGCGACAGTGTTGACAAGCATTTGCACGTGCTCACATGAAGGATATCTTGCGTTGCGTTCGTGTAGGTGGCCGGTTAGCTCAGCTGGTTAGAGCGTGGTGCTAATAACGCCAAGGTCCTGGGTTCGATCCCCATACTGGCCAGATGCTCTTTTCCTTCATTTAAAGAAATCAATGAAAATTTTGCTCCTGATTCTTTCCCTCATTTTTTAGGTTTGCCTTGCAGGTTATCAGTTTTTCTCTTTTCACAGAACATCCCTCAGTTTTTCTCCGTTGACAGCACTGCCTCTTCTGTTTCTGCCTCTGTTTATTGGATTTAGCAATTCACTTTTTGTCGCAGGATCTTATTTTCCAGGGAATCTGTCCCAATTTCTTGGCTACATAAATCAGTTTGTTCGAATTTTCTCTCAGTTTCTTTTTTCCATCCCGTGGATTTTTAGAGTTCCTTTTCTGTTTGTGTTTGTTTACACCACTGCCTGAGATGTCCCATACACTTGCTTGGCTTACCCTGTTGGTAGTTGGTGTTTCCTCTAAATTTTTGGGCTCTCTTCCCAGTTTCTCGTTTATCCGGTCAGTTTCTTCATTTAAAAAAAAATAATATGCGGTTCTTTACCAGTTTTTATTTCAAACTATCAATTTCTTGAAATTTTTTTCGTTCATCCTCTCAGTTTCTTCATTTTAAAACTGTAAATAAAATCAGTTTCTTTACCAGTTTTTTAGGTCTTACTATACGTATCTTGCATTTATTTTTATTTTCATGGTTTTATTTGGGATTCTCTCCAAGTAAATTGGTTGTCCTGTCAGTTTATCGGGTTTTCATTGACATTTTCGGAATTCCTGCTCCCAGTTTCTGAACGGCAGTGTTGACAAGCATTTGCACGTGATCACATGAAGGATATCTTGCATTGCTTTCGTGTAAGTGGCCGGTTAGCTCAGCTGGTTAGAGCGTGGTGCTAATAACGCCAAGGTCCTGGGTTCAATCCCTATACTGGCCAGATGCTCTTTTCCTCCATTTAAAGAAATCAATGAAAATTTTCTCCTGATTCTTTCCCTCTCAATTTATTGGGTTTGCCTTGTCAGGTTATCAGTTTTTCTCTTTTCACAGAACATCCCTCAGTTTTTCTCCGTTGACAGCACCGTCTCTTCCGTTTCTGCCTCTGTTTCTTGGATTTTGCTCCTCACTTTGTGTCGCAGGATCTTATTTTCCAGGGAATCTGTCCCAATTTCTTGGCTACATAAATCAGTTTGTTCGAATTTTCTCTCAGTTTCTGTTTTCCATCCCGTGGATTTTTAGAGTTCCTTTTCTGCTTGTGTTTTTTACACCGCTGCCTGAGATGTCCCATACACTTGCTTGGCTTACCCTGTTGGTCGTTGGTGTTTCCTCTAAATTGTTGGGCTCTCTTCCCAGTTTCTCGTTTATCCGGTCAGTTTCTTCATTTAAAAAGAAAAAAAAAGAAAATGCGGTTCTTTACCAGTTTTTATTTCAAACTATCAATTTCTTGCATTTTTTATTTCGTTCATCCTCTCAGTTTCTTCATTTTAAAACTATAAATAAAATGGGTTCCTTTACCAGGTTTTTATGTCTTACTATAAGTATCTTGCATTTTTTTACAATTTTCATGGTTTTGTTTGGGATTATCTACAAGTAAATTGGTTGTCCTCTCAGTTTATTGGGTTTTCATTGACATTTTCGGAATTCCTGCTCCCAGTTTCTGAACGACAGCGTTGACAAGCATTTTCACGTGCTCACATGAAGGATATCTTGCGTTGCTTTCCTGTAGGTGGCCGGTTAGCTCAGCTGGTTAGAGCGTGGTGCTAATAACACCACGGTCCTGGGTTCGATCCCCATACTGGCCAGATGCGCTTTTCCACCATTTAAAGAAATCAATGAAAATTTTGCTCCTGATTCT